GAATACGAAAACGAGTACGATGGGATGGGGATGGGGGAGAGCAGCAGAAGGAGAACCGGCATCATTTCATGCTCCATTCAAATGTTGCTCAATCTCATTCAAACAATTTGTATTGTAGTTTTATTACCACAATAAAACGGATAAAGGAGCTCCGTCTTTGCCCGAGAAAGGGATACAATAAGGGCAGACCCGAGAAAAGGGGGCGTGCCGACTCCAGTCGTGTGTGCTCTCCTTTTAAATTGGTTAAATTTCCGCACGGACTAAATTCTCCTTGCAAACTGAAAGAAGTAAAAATATTTCACGCTTCATGGAACTGACGATTTGGGCATGGGTGAAGAGACGAAGGCCGTTTTATAGAGTCCTTTCCGGAATATTTCACACTTTGCCCCCGTACAAATCGGTGACACGTGGCAAGTGCCATATAATTTATACCAGAAAGAATAAAGCACGGACGAAGAAGAGCTGTGGCGAGACTTTGCCGAGTGTCAAATTTGATACGCTCAATCTGGCCACGAATTTTTCAGCATTTTTCGTCGCCGGAAACTTTAAAATTTTGCGGGTCTTAGTTTGCGGAACTTTTCGATTGAATGACCCAACTCATTTGGCTTAAAATTCCATTTCCCATTTTCCCCACTCTCAAAGAGAGTAAATTAATTTTTCTCTTTTGTGGCGTTTTGCAACTTATTTTTGAGCGTTTTTCTTTCATGTATCTCAAGAAAAAAGTTATCTTCAATCAATTTTCTTGGATTATACGCTGTAGCTGCTCCTTTCAGTGGCCCAGAGCCAGACCTTTGTTGGGAACCCCTCCATATCCATACAGACATATGTATTTCCGATTCATATCTAAATCTATTACAATTCATATTCATATGCCGAGCACACAGATATCCACCCTCCTTCGTCCGACCTTCCCTGACGCGTGAGGGTATCGGATACAGTGCGTCTCGCTACGATACGTCATAGCATGACGACAATTTATGTTGAATTTGAGGACTAACTTTACTTTACGCAAATCTCTTGGAATTCGACATATGTACCCTCTCTTTTGATCATCAATAAATTTTAATAAATTAAAGAATTACTAAATAAATGACCCAAGGAAATTATTACCGAAGGAAAAACTTTTAATGTTTAAGATTTTTACACAAATTTAAATGGTTGAATAAATCATACTTGATACATATCTTTATTCATTCCTTCCTGCCTGATTAATAAACATTAATTTTGTAATTGTATTAATCCTTAAGCAAATAAATCCCACAGCTGAACTTATTCGATATCGTATTACTCCTACATACGATACTACTATATACGATCTATAGAATAAAAGTGTCTTTTTCATATGGATACGGCTACAACTGCCGTATTGCTCTGGCACGGACTGTACTCGCAGAAGTTAAATCAAGTGTTAAAGAGTTTTTTAAGAAACGTCTTCTTCTAGACCGTCTCGTGTCGCAAGTTCTTTTTCGACTTTCTACCCCTTTTATGGGCCTTTTCCGTTCAGTTCCGTTCCGTTCTGCCGCTGCTTAGCCTAATATCCAAATAAACATACTTTATCCGTTATTGCCGTCGAATTTATGGTTTTTTAAATGACGGCCCACCTCCTCGGAGAACTCCCCGAATGGAAATATGAAATGCGACGGCTTTGATAAGGGTATCTGGTTTTCTTTGAGAGAGTCAGCTCAGGCGGGTTGGGTTGTGTTGAGTCTATTGGTGGACCGTTCGACAGCTGGCCGAAAATGTTTGGGAGGGGAGCGTCGAGGAGGCGAATGTAAATCTTTTCCAGAATAAAGCACGGTCCACCCCTTCGAATGGCAGCACATTCGCCAGCGCATCCGCGATAATCCCAATGCATATTCTCAATCGGAATTAAAACTAGTGACAAGGTCACACTTTTTGCAAAGATAACAGAAAAATGCTAAAAGTGACGACGACGATGGCGGCGCCGCTAACGAAATTGCAAATGCTGCACATGGGAAACACATGTACATACATGTACAATCAGGCCCAGACATGCACCGCCGCTTGTGTGTGTGCGTGTGTGTCTGCACTTTTCAATGGAATGCAATGGAGATCCGTGACAACATAATGCCCCTCCGCCCCAGCAGACAGAGATACACCTACCCCAACGTAGCCAGCCGGGCTTATGCGCAGGCCCGAGACTGGAAAATGAATTACGAAGCGAACCGGTAGGGCGGGGTAGGGAGGGACACCGACACCACTCAGCATCTGTAATGGGGGCTGCTGCTGCTGCTGCTGCTGTTACTTCTGCTTAGGTGTGAATTCTGTTGAGAGAAAGAGAGAGCGAAATTACATAGAAATTAAGCAGAGGAGTGGAGCCGCAGCACCAACAACAGGAACAAACTTGTTGGAGCAAGCGCATATTTCATATTTTGCCAGAGCCGTTACGCCCCCAGTGCGTTTGTGTTTGTGTGCGTGTGCGTTTGAGTGTGAAAAGCCTCAGCCATACATATCTGGACAAGTTCGTGTGCGTGTGTGTTCAGGTAGCTTTCAATTATGTTTTGTGGAATGTTAAACATGCATATGTGTGTACATACATACATACATACTCATTATTATGTACTCAACTGTTTGTTGTTTGAACCATACCACCTGCAGGCATATATACGAGTACATACTTATGTATACGAACACGTACCACGTACATTTAGTGAAAGCTCCATCCAAGTTTGATGTCCGTCCAACAGAGAAGGCTTTCGACTGATCAACGAGTGAAGGATCATCAGAATTGACAGATACAAGACCTACAACTATTCAGACTACAACAAATAAAATGTTCACCAAATATGTATGCTCATATTCGATGTGCATTTAATATAAGAATGATGTTGTTTCTCGTCCAATCAAATGAGCATTTGCATAGTGCTTTCGTTCAACATGAAAGAGCGATTTTCATTGTATTTCAAATAGAAAATATAAGTTCGATTGCGTTTCTTTAGTATTTGTATAAAAATCAAATTATTTTAAGAGTATAATCCACAGCTTCCCTCCTTACCTCACATAGAGATAGAAGGTCGGGGGAAACGGAACAAAAATAAGAAAGATACGAAAGCTAGACACCCTTGAAGATACATATGTATATCGGCCCTACTACCCACCAGGTAAGAGCTGGTTTGGTTTTCAGTTATTTTTAAAAGTCCTCAAACGGAACGGATCTAGTGTAATCAACCTCAATTCAAAGATCTTTTGGTGCTCCATACCTGTTTCTCAGCTACGAAATAAAGACATCATTAGAAAATCATGTAACACATTAGTCCAACTGTCGTCACCACACCCACAGGGGGTAGAGGCAGGCAAAATTGCCATTATGTTGAACACGCAAGTCAATTGATGCAATTTGTCCGACCAGTTGGAGTACAAGGGTCCCCCAGCCCAAGTTTCTGGCCTGGACGGCAATTTCCCCAGTGACAATCTGACATCCCGTAACAGGTTCACGGTCTGACGAGTAGTGGGTGGTTCCCCATCTCCCTGTGGGTTCGGGTTCGGGCTCTGGTTCGGGGGTGTAGATGGAGATGGCTTTCTCTCATCAACAGTTAGCAGCTTCTCCTGCTGCTGCTGGCTGATTTAAGGGTTGCCAGCCCGGTGCCCGACCCTTAAATGAATTGCGGCGATTTATTGCGGTAATACTCATTTAGTTGCCCGCCAAACGCTCTCGCCCCCCGGTTCTGTCCTTGCCTCGAGCGGGCGAACCGAACGAAGACGAGTTGAGTGCAAACAATGCACGCCATAAAAATAAATCTCTCGCTGTGGTAGTGTGTGGAGTGTGGAGTGTTTGGTTATACCCGTGGGAAGTCCCGGCGAGAAGTTGTCAATTACTTGCGAATCGATCTGGATGGGATTTGGTATTCATGTCACTTGCAGGTGCAGGACATCTCGGACCTTGTCCGGGTCTGTCTAGAGGAGTAATCACTATAATTGGGCACTGGGCTTGACAAAGACTGAGAAAAAAGTACGTGATATGCATTTGTACGCTTTTGGCCAATTAATAAGCCAATTCCAACAGTACGTACCCACACCTTATCGGCGACCACGTAAATCAGCTTTATATCATGAAAATGAGCTCAAAATTCAATTACATGGTGTCTTGTCTTCTCTCTCGGTATACCATCCACCATATACCACCGAGTACCACCTACTCGTGCATAAATCAAGAAGTTTTTCAACCTGTCGGCCTGGGATTCTCATTTGCCCAAGCACCCAACATCTTAGCAGCTTCTAAGCCGCTTTGCCTGCCGCCGCTCATAACTCACACAGGCATTTTGTCACATTATGCATTTAAATTTAATTTGTAATTTATGAGCAGCTTTGCAGACCTCTCGGCCTGCGTTGCCAACTAATTAGGATTTCAGTGTTTCAGGTACCCTCCCAGCATCTCCCAGCATAGCTGAACAGCCTCCCACCCAGTTCCCCGCCACTTAATAGCATAATTAATCGATATTAAATGAACATCAGAACAATAAACGCCGGAAGAAACCCACAAAAGGTTAAATTAAACGAAGTAATTGTTACAGAGGCAAGCTTCCCCTGTCCCACTCTTACCCACCCCCTGTGTGCCAGTCATTCAGTCCCCCCCGTCGAGGGTTGGCTTGCCCTGCTCTGGCCTGGTCCTTTACAATGCATAATAAACAGTCGAGCAGGCACGAAGCAAACAGAAGTGGGGAGCAGTGCGCTCAGTTTTTGATTTTTAAACGGCATGCCTGAGAGCCTGGGGCTCAGAACAAGGCTGTAAAGCGCACAAAGTCACACGGCAGGTGGCGGAACGACACAGATTGGGGGGAGGCAAACACAAAGTGATTTAAATGCATTCCTAATGGGATGAAATCATGTGCTCTGTCTGGCCATCCACTTGCCCTTCCAGTCCCGCTTCGATTTGCGGTTGCCAGGGGGCCATGAATATGCATAGAGTTGCGCTTTTGATGTGCGCATCCATCCCCCTCTGAGACAACACGGCTTCAATCTTACGCTAACTTATGGCAGAGTTGAACCTAAACTAGAGTTTTTTAATTAAAGTGTCGCCTATAAAATTATAATTAATGCCGTCCAGAGCAGGGACTGGATATTTTGTTACCCAGCCAAATCCGCTTAGAATAATTTCATAACGATTTGAGGCCCCGCCGTTTAAAAGGTCACATTAAGTATCTTATCAGAGCTAAGCAGATGGGGTGCGGTTACTGGGGTCACCTCGACGGGCAGCCCAGCAGGATCTATCTGTGGAATGTGGCTAAAGCTTTTGACGCTCGTTAGAGACACTCTGCGGTCTCAAGTGCCCATTTGGTGGGGGAATGTTAATTTCCAGATTTTGAACCAAGGCCCCAAAAGTGTACCGATGCAAGTTCTTTGAGCGCGCCCTAAACTCATCAACGGTGCCGGCAAAACTGATGATCTCATCGACATGTTGCGGCTCTGGCAAGTAGTAGTCATCGCCTTAAGCAGAGAATCTGGTTAGGTCTTATCAAGGCATAATATTCATTAAACCAACCAGGCAAGACATACACCATAGAGCCCTCGCAAGCATAGAGCAAAGGCATGAACATGGTGGTACCCATCCTGCTGCGATTTGTGGCAAAGCCCAGAAGAGATTTGTACGTCCCGACTCCAGCAAGTCGCGCCAGCTCGTAGAATTGAGGGGGCATAAACCAGAGATTCCCCCCTTTGTTCAGTCGCAGAAACTCCATAGGAGTAAGCCACTAAGTGAAAAGGTGAACAAAATTGGTAAAACGGGTAATATTAAAGCCAAAGCTCACCAGAGTCTCCTTGACCTCAGAAGACTCCTCAAGCAGGCTGGGCTGTGTGTCCACAAAAGCTGCGAAGAAGACAGTCTCATAGCTGTGAAGTTAGTTTTTTAGTTTCAGTATAAAAACTGCAAGCATTCTATCACCAACCCTTTGCGGACGATGGAAGGACTGGCCCAGGCCGACCATTCGTGTAGGGCCCACAAATCCGGAACCACCTGTAGCTGCCGACACAGGTTAAGAAATTCGCTGGGTTTGTTGTGCACTCGTCGCTGCCAAGCCTTCCGATCTGTGAGCTCCTTTGGCAAGGCAATATTACCAAAGTTCAATTCATTTTTACTGCGACCCAGGAGAATTCCAACCTCTTCAAAGCACTCCCTCAAAGCGGTCAGGCGTAGTGTAATCTCACTAGACGAAAAGAGTACAAAGATCAGTTCAGTAATCTTTGTGATACATGTGCCACCTTTGGACCCACCGCGACCAAATATTCGAGCGCTTGAAGAACCGGTCATAGCAGCCCGTGCCCTGGGGCGCCAGTATAGCTGGCCTGTCATCCCGGATCAGCACCAGGCGCCTCAGGGACTCCTGTGGCACACCGAACTCCTCGAAATACTGCAGCCAGGAAACGCCTTCATCCGCCTCGCTGTCCAGCAGGCCCCCAGGGAAGACAGTTTGATTCGTTACGATTGCTGTGGGATCGCTGCGCTTGAGCATCAATAGCTGGAAGATCAGAAGGGTTTAATTCCCATTATACACTTGTGCCTTATACTTACATTGTAATCTTGGTGCTTGTTGGCCTCTTTGGAGACTAGGATGAGACTGGCCGAGGTTCGCCACTTGCTAGTTGCAGTAGACATTTTAAAACATTAACAAAATATTTTGTTCCTCCATCAGCTGATTGCCTATCGATATCGATATCCTGGTCTGAGCAACAAAAAACACGTTATCTTTACCAGCACTAGAGAGTTTCGAATTCGTGCAAAATTCAAAATTTTGCAGCCTGATAAAACCGTTCACTAAAAATATTTTTAAAGTGGAGGAAACAAGAACAAAACAAAGCAAAATTGATAGCCGCGTGCACACGTGTTGCGAAACATATTTAAGCGCTGAAAGCGAAGCACCGAAGACACTTCCAGTTGGAATTGTAGTTTGAAAGCAACTTGGGCAATGAATATTCTGCTGTCGCTCTTGTTTCTCGGCTGCATCTGCAGCTGCCTTGGGGATGATGAACACATCACGGAGCTGCTGACGAAGAACACCGAGGAGCTGAGCGAAACCAATGCTCTGTTGACCAGCATCGACACCGTCGGTAAAAGAATCGAAGCGAATTTGAAAGAGCAGCGCGAAGCTCTCCAAGTCATCGGTCTGGTCGAGCAGCTACTAGCCAAGCAGAATAATTTCCTGGAGGCCCAAGCCGAGGCATTATTGGAAACCTTCGCCAATAGCTCCCGGCAGGGGCATGAGTATGCCAAGAAAACGGCAAAGGAGCTCCACGATATGGCTCTGCTCCAGGAGGGAACCAAGCACTTGATCCTCCACCTGGAGGCCAAGCTTGACGCCTATCAGAAGCACTTAATCCAAAGTGCCCGCGGCATCGACCGCAGCATCGACGGCCTCACGAAGCTGGTTACGCGAACTGTCTTGCCCCAACTCAATGGACTGCAGTGCTCATTCGACAGTCTAGAAACTTCGCAAATTAACATTGAAGTGGAGCTGAAGAGCTTGTCCGGTGTGAAGGAGTTGAGCGAGGACTCCAACCACAAACTGGGCATTCTGGATCACCAACTCAAGCATCTCAATCGCACCCAGGAGGCTCGTCTCGAGGGTCTCACGAGTGCAGTGAGGCATCTCAGGCCGTTAAACACGAGGCAAATCGAAGGTGCTCTTCGCGAGCTGATCATTTCCCAGAAACGCATCGAGCTGGATTTGGAGGAATGCGGCAAGCACTCCCACAACCCACATCATATTCCTCCACCTAAATCCGATTCCCAAAGCTATGCACCCACACCCCCTCAACACTCGCATCACGCTCCTCAGCCTGAATCCCACTCCCAAAGCTATGTAGCCCCAGCCCCACACAACCCGCATCATGGCTCACAGCAGGAATCCCATCTCCACAGCTATGGAATCGCAGCTCCACAGCCGCACCATCCCAACCAACAGTCGTACCAACAGACGAGGTCCAAGCCCGTAGATCTTGTTCAGATGTGGAGCATTAAGGATCCAGAGAATCCTGGTAAGTGGGGCATCCATCATGAACTCTCTCTCTGAGATTTCTGAGATCATTATATCACATCGATTTCCAGGCGAACATTCCGAGAACCATCGCGTGAGCGCCTATGCCGAGTCTCCGGAGCCCAGGGCAGAGCACGCCTCGTCGTCAAACCCAAGACATTATGAGAAGTCGGAGTCTCACCAGAACACTGGAGCCGCGTCTTCCCACTCGGTGTCCTGGCAACACCCTCTACCCTGGGAGGAGGTCTCTCCCTACCATTCCGCTCCTAATCCTAGTCAGCCGTGGAAACCAGCGTCTCCCCACCAACCTCTTCCCAGGCCCCAGCCCAAGCAGAATCCATGCGAGAAGGGACATTCAGCTGGATATGCATCGTCACCAGCTTCCCCACAATCCTATAAGCCTCAGAAGGGCTCTAAATCTGGCTCTGGCTCTGTCCATAAACATATAGCCCAGCCGGGCGACTCGTTCAGGATCTGGTATGGGGATGATTCCATAAAAGATGCTTACTAAAGAATATTGGAGCTTGAAAAACGGATTTCTTCGAATAGGAAATTAGACCAATGGATACTGGTTACTTACTAGTACACATTCGATATATACCATTCATCTTTAAATAAAAAAACATTAACGCAACCCGATAGAGTGTGAAACTAAAGACCATACAATACCAAGATGTTGCATGAGGGAGCTGGTTTATGGCGGGGTATCCGTTACGCCCCGTAGACAGAGGGCGCGCACGGGGATTCAATTCTTTTTTCACCTATGCTTCGTCTTTTCAGCTCTTCTAGGTCCCAAAATCGTACAACAAATAAAAGGTAATCCGGTAATTTTTAGCAAGAAATACATAGTCTTTGGCGACGCACAAAGTCGATCCCTAGAAAAAGCGAATGGTTCAAAACGGAATGCCCAATAATGCAATAAAAAATTGTACGTCTTGGACATGACGAGGCACATTTTGTCCGAGACTGGGACCGACTGCGGCTCCCCAGAACTGTGTATTTATTGTAGGATTCTGCGACGACTCAGCTACCTAAAGGCATCGACGAACAGACGAAGCCGAGTAAGCAGCGGAGCCGCGGTCAAAGGATAGCCTTAAAAAAAATTTAAATGGAAATTGTTCCTGTTGCAATGTCTTGTTTTTGTATAGTTGATGATAGTACATATACCCATGATCACGATCACGATACTACCACGGCCCTCTATCCGTTTGACGGTTTCCATTAGAATTGGTCTACTAACAGACTCTAACATCTGCCTGAAACTTTGTATAGACCCTTCTTTCAAATCCAGGCAGTTAGTATGTATAAGTCGGAAACCCAAAGATTAACCGATCAGGAGCTCAACAAGGTGGCCAAGTCCGTCGGCAGACATCTGGAGGAGATCGATGAACCTAACCTAACCTTCTTTTAAATCCAGGCAGTAAGTATGTATAAGTCTGAAACCCAAAGATCAACCTATATCATATAAATTCCATAGGAGCAATCGGTCGAAAGCAGGTCATTACCATAATTTATTTGTTTCTGAATATAAACCAACCAAAATCTGGTAAAAGCTGTTTAATTGGACCCAGGAATTATCGGATGTACTAAAAAGCAGAATCAAAATCTGATGATTATATAGCTGAAATAGCAAATGCTCGAGTTACTAGGATATACATAACATATATTTAAGTCTTCGCTAACTTCCTCCCTGGTGAAATATTTGTTCAAGAACATTTCGAAAATGTCGTTTCACGTGAACTTACGATAAACTCATAATTCGTAAAATTTAATACATGTATTTTCCGGTCGCCATTATCTCAAATATGGTTTGGTTTTCTAAATGAGCAGGCCTATTTTTGAATGGAATTCAGGCTACAAACCCAAAGCTAAGATGAAATAGTCACGTTTAGACTCTGGTATCGCCCATGACACACTAAAAAGCCAGAAAATCTCTTCCCTAAAAGACCTATTTATAAGAAAAGACCAATGCACGACGAACGTGCCTATCACCACTCTTTTCTAAGCTCTCGAAAAGTCGTTGAACCAAACAAATCAGTGTAGTACACATGGATGATAGAGCATGGGTAAACAAGTGATGTTACATGTTGGTATCCGATTGTGGTCAAAATTCCAGCTGGTTATTATCTATCCAGACAAAATAGGAATCAAGTGCGATCTACTATACGTACGTACATAACTTGTTCCTGTCATTGGGAGGAAGATTAGCCATGAGCAGCTACGAGCTCGCAGCTGCGTCCACTAGCTTAATTTGAGAGTCTTGGGAGATAAAAGAAAACCGAAGCTAAGACACGTTTCAAATTGGATTGACGTTGTTGCCCAGTTAGTCTGGCTACTTAAGGTGAAGCCTACGCCGAGTGAGGGCAGTCAGCCGTGGAGATCCATCACAGACACTCGACGCACACAATGAGGGCCCAATCGGTATTGCTATTGATCTGCATCAGTGGTGTTTGGACCGTTGCCGTGGAGCAAGAGGAGAATTCGGGCGACAGGAAGATCGTACGCATATTGACGGAGATCAGCGCGCAGCTGGAGACGCTGGACATCAAGGCGACTGACGTAATCAAACATCAGAAAGGATTCGAGCATAAACTCAAGGATCAACGAGATCAGATAGAGGGCATTGTCAGACTAGAGGCTGGGCTGCTCAAACTGGAACAGGACACGGTCAACAGTTTCCAGTTGACGGCCACAGGGGTGAGGAACCTGACGGCCATCATTAACTCTTCCCATAGCCAAAACGAAAAGGCCATCCGGAATCTGGGCAAGGTAGAGATCGACATCAAAAGAGCCCTAGGCCAGGTCGATGCTGTTCAAAACAAACACGAGCAAGAGCTCAACAAGGTGGCCAAGTCCGTCGACAGACATCTGGAGGAGATCGAGCAGCTCCTCAAGCAGTCCGTTATCAGGGAGATCGTCTCACTGGACAGGAAGGCCAAGGGTCTGCAGCAGCAGCAGAGGAACATCGAGGCCAAAGTGGTCTACTTGGATGAGCTGAATGCTCTGACCAGCCGGGCGAACCAGAAAGTGGATCAACTGCAGCAGGGACTGCGCTCTCTAAACTACACGCAAGCGGAGAGCCTGGATGGCATTGAGAAGGTGATACTCGCGGTGCAGGGAGGCAGCTCGCAGATTGACCAAAAGCTGGGGGCCCTGCTCAGGAATCAGAAGAACATTGAGAGCACTCTCGACGTCTGCAAGCGAGGCCATTATGCACACACAGGCAATAAGAAGCCCCAGGACAGATGGTCCTCCGCCCACCAGTAAGTCCTTTGATCAGCAAGATTCTTTGAAACTTATGAAGCTGTTCTCTCTTCAGATCGCAGCCACGACAAAAGCCGACGGAGTACGAGACCAGCTATGCCACAGAGGAAGAGGCCGAATACCTCTACAAGCTCTGGTACGGCAAGGAGAATGAATAAACGAACATCTGCAGCATCTTATGCCAACTCTCTTGCTTAAACTGAAAATCCGAGCAGCTAACTCAAATTAAACCTAAATAAATACACATTTGATCCTGTTCGTTCTGTTCTACATCTTAGTTGGATCCAAAGGGTTGATCTGTCCATCAGTCGGAGCAAAGTTAATGATTAGTTTCGCTTGGTGCTGGTCCCTGTGCTCCGAACGATTCAACTTAGTTCTGACTTGTGAACGAAAGTCCTCTACAGAGAGGCCAGTGTCTATTTTATCGCTACAGGCATCTGGATTAACCGGATAGGCATCGTCGCCGGGAAGCAGATGCACAATGCCGTCGTTGCATTTGTACATGACAGGATGGGTGAGAACGATGCCCTTGGGGGCACGTTGAATGGCAAATTGACGCAGCTCTTCCAGGGAGCCAAAGTTAAGGCAGCGAGAAAGTTCGTAGAACTGAGGAGGCGGCAGCCAGAGCTCTTTTCTTAGAGAAGCCAGAAGATAATCCAAGGGAGAACGCCACTGTTTAGAGCGAAAAAAAAGGGTTTAGTGGGTGTTCAGCGACTACTCATTGGATTTGATCGACTTACCGCACAGTCCTTGACCTCATTGGGCTCAATGTGCAGGCTGGGCGCCTGTTCGAGAGTGGTCAGGAAGAAGGCCGTCACAAAACGCTTCTTAAACGTCGAAGGCGTGCGCCAGACAGACCAATCGTGGAGTGACCAAATATCTGGCACCACTTCCAGCTGCTTGCAGAGTTCCAGGAACTGGCTGGCATCATTGTGGACCAAATGCTGCCAGTGGGCGCGATCGAATTGCTCATAGAACTGCCCATAGCCGCTGGTCGAGGTCAAGGTCTTGGCATCCCGACACAATAAGATGCCCAATTCCTCAAAGGTTTCCCGTAAGGCAGTCAGACGCAGCGACAAGCCGCTGCGTAAAAGATCAGAGGCCTTGACAAAGAAGTTCCGCACTTGCGACAATCTAGCAATCTCACGTGTCTATCGCATCGGTATCTTCCCGCGAATTGAATATCTCGGGACGCGGAGCCTTCACGTGGCAGACGTCGCGCAGCATGGCTGAACTAATGTTGTGACGCTGAAAGTGCGATAGCCAGGCAGGGGAGCTGTCCGTGGCCTCGCACACTCCCCCTGGAAAGACGGACGAGTTCGGCATGAAGCTGGACTTTGAGGTCCGTGTGAGCAGCAGCGCCTTAAATAATAGGTTCGATATTTATTAGACTATACCTAATCCAATTAGATTGTCTTACATTGTAGTCGAAGGATTGCCTTGTGGCTCCTTTATCCCTGGCCAACAATATCAAGCTAGAGGACGGGCGTATTTTGGCCAGCACCTGCTTCGACATATCGCTTAGGTAACAACCGATATCGATTGCATGTACTCGATAGGTCGATTGGTAATCTCACGAAGTGGATCAAAGGTTTTTTTGACTGTATAACTGATTTCTGATATATGATTTACAATGGTTGCTACCCACGACACTGGAACGTACAGACCCTCGGCCAGCCTCATATTGGCTGCTAGGGAGGATTCCTCTGCAAAGTTTGACTACAGCGTAAGGCTGGTACGAAAGGGGAATGGTATTTAAATTTAATTTCTTTTGCCCATAGTTACTTTTAATAAAACGCAGCGAGCGCACTTCTTATGCTTTGAATCACTGCGTCTTTCCTGGTGGCGTGTTCGATGCCGGGGCGGACGAGTCTCCAGAGTGGATAACATATTTTCAGTCTTTTGGCGTGACCGACGAGGATTTTAAGCGACTGAGCAGCGACCAGGTGTCCGCCAGGTCAAAGTTCCTGTCCTCCGGCCAGAACTTTTCCAGAGATATCTCATTGCGGCTGACCGCTCTAAGGGAGACTTTTGAGGAAGTCGGCCTCCTGCTTTGCTCCAACGAAGAGGGCATTAGGAGTTGGAATTGCACGACAGGCGACCCGCGGACTTTGCTCCTCCAGCCAGAAGATCGCTCCCATTGGCAACAGCGAGTGCACAACGATGCCACTCAGTTCCTGGCATTATGCCGGCATCTCCGCGTTCTTCCCAATCTCTGGTCCCTCCAAGAATGGTCCATTTGGAGGACACCAGCCACTGCGAGTCGCAAGTACGACACTGTTTATTACATTACCGCTCTGCAAGCGCAGTCGAAGCAGGTGAGCCTTTTGCTAGAGCCGCAAGAGGTGGCCTCGGCGCACTGGCTGGCTC